AATATGAGAATATAAATATTTTTTTTAAATTCATATTAGTGGTCCGCGGGATTTAAAATTATGAATTTAGTGGTCCATGGAGGTCCGAAAGGTTGGCGACCGCTGCCCTAAAAGGTTTCAGAGAAAAGTTAGTTGATTTACAAGTAAAAACTACGGCTGCAACAACTAATCGATCACATTGATAATAATCAATGAGAATAGTTGGCAACTATTTGGGGAGAGATTTTTTTTTTATTGCAACTAATCGATTATGAAAAAAATATATGAAAAAGTGAATGTTTAGTTAACCACTTGTCGTCCGGAGCAATTTCTTAATTTTTGCACCCACGTCATAAAATCTGCATTTTTGGCTAGAAAACAGATCAACATCCCCCGAACTGATATATTTTATGAAAGCAGAAGGCCTTTAGAATAAAAAAAAGTCTACTTGTTCTCCATTTATTTGATTGTTGGCCGGGACTGCTGAAAGGTGTGCGGAGGGCACCTCCATCAATTACTTGTTCATCAAAACAATATTTTTAGGATTAAATACACTGAAATGTATTATAGTGCACAGAAACAGGATAAAATACCCAATGCAAAAAAAATCATAAATGTAATTTTTTTTCTTCTGTTAAATATGGGAGCATTTATTAATTTTTCTTTTTTACCATGTTACTTCCAAATGCTTAGTACGGAACATGAAGTTGTGTTCACGTCCGGAATCCATACTTGCAAATAAAAAAAAGTTTCATTTTTAACTATACATATAAATTAAGTTTAATATTGAAGCCTATGTAGTACAATGTCTGTGAAGGGTCTCATTCATCCAGGTCATGATATATCTGTAAAAAATAAGCCAAGGCAACTGGATTTGCTGTATTTTTCTTGAAGACGTTTCACTGGTCATCTAACCAGCTTTCTCAATTCAGAACTTGAGGCTTGAGAAAGTTGGTTGGATGACCAGTGAAACGTCTTCAAGAAAAATACAGCAAGTCCAGTTGCCTAGACTTATTTTGACAGATATGTAGTAAAATGCGAGCTACAACGTTAAGGCCTGGTTCACACCTGTACGTTTTGTAGCGCATTCAACGCTCTACAAAACGCTCAAACATGAAAATCCCATTGTTTTCTATGGGAATGGTTCACACCTTGCCGTATTTCAGCCCGTCTGAACGCGCTACAAAACGGCCTACGCCTGAAAAGGTACATGAGCTTCTTTGCGGCGTTTTTGTCGTGCGTTTCCATTGGGATACAGCCAAGTAGCCCTCGGAAACGCACGTTTGTCGCGTGTTTTTTTACAGTGAATCGCGGTAAAACCATGCGTCACGAAACGCGCATATTCGATACGCCTAGGTGTGAACAGAGCCTAAAAGGGCAAGGACATAAACATTGGCAAAATGTAGTGTGAACAGGCTTATATACAAAGAGGGGGATTTATCAAAACTGGAGCACACAGAATCTGCAGCAGCTGTGCATGGCAACCAATCAGCATCTCTCATTTTCAAATCTTAACTGAGCAAACTGAATAGAGCAGCTGATTGGTTTCCCTAGGCAACTGCTCCAGAGTTTGTCTGCTCCAGTTTTGATAACTTCCCCCCAATGAGTACAACAGCAGTATTTCTCACCAAGTGGTAAATCTGATGGCGGTTGTTCTGGCAGGCTTTCATCCGACCTCGGCTCACAGGAGTCACCGTTCTCAGAGACCTTTGGAGACTGATCGGGTGTCGTATTCTGGTCATCTACTGTGTCACCGTGGCTGACATTTGCATCATCGCCGCCCTCCTCAACCGCACCTCGTTTGGCTTCCTCCATCCGTTCTGAAAACCAGCTGCGGATATCATCTGCGGACATAGCTGTCTGGTCGCAGAGATCATTAATGTCAGTTTCACAAAGTGTTTGATGCTCGCCATAATAGTCCAAAAGAGGCTGGAGGGACGCAGGCTTAGCTTCCGAATAGGTTTTTTTGTAGCCCTCATACCATCTTAAATTGCCAATTTTAAAGGAGTACCTGGCGTCCCCGAACCAGCGCACAATTTCGGGGCGCGGCAGTCCTGTCTGCTCTACCAGATTATCGTACTGCTCCTGGGATGGCCACTGCGTCTTCACAAACAATTGTCTTAAATGATCCCGCTGCTGGGCAGTCTTTTTCACAGATCGACTTTTCTGAGGTGTACATGGCCTACTACTTCCACCATCGCTGTGATTACTGTTATCATCCCTGAAGCTGTCCGTGTTGTTCCCTGTATCCGTCACCCGAAGAGCCTTTAGATTAATCTTTATAGGGTTTACTTTTCGCTCAAAGACTGGAGAACTAGGAGCCTTCACTTCATCAGCAGTCTTGACCCTGAAGGTCTCCATTTCTTCAGGAAAGATGTCCTCGTGCTTTTCATAACGGGCCTTCTCTCTCTTGAGTTCTTCAGCGACTCTTTTGCGTTTGTCTGCGAACCAGCTGTCAATTTCGCGTCTTGTCATTTTTGTCTCGCTTCGTAACCTGGTCACTTCATCATCCGAAGGGAAAGTATTTGTTGCAAAGCTACTTTCCAGCACTCTCAGCTGCTCTGGAGCCCGCTCCTTGTATCGTGTGGTTGTGAAGTCTGGAGTCTGATGCCAAGACTGCCTCCTTGGGGTATGGGCTGGCGTATGTGAGGGTGTATGCGATGGGGTATGAGACGGTGTATGAGATGGTGTGTGGCTGCTTGCCGGTGTATGGCTGCTTGCTGGAAGTGCAAAGTCAGTATCATGTTCTTTTCCCACAGAAAACACCAAATCTGTCTGCGCGTCAGTTAGCGGCTCGCCGGTGTCTGAGAAGTAGGACGCCGGTTTGTTGCGGTAGTGGTACCGTTTATCACTAAACCATTTCCGAACGTCCCTTGTTGATAGGCCAGTAATTCTGGTCAGCTTTGCAACTTCCCCGTGGGAAGGAAACTGACTTTTGCAAAAACTGTTTTTAAGGGCACTCAACTGCTGCCTTGACTTTTTAATTCGTATGCTTTCATAAAAACTCGATTGTGATGTAATCGGAGGGGAATTGCCCGCTGCTGTAAAGGACTCTCTACCAAAGTCGTTTGCCTGACTAGTGGAAAGTGGAGCTATGCCTAAAGACACGGAAGTAAGAGCTCCTTGAATCCCATTGGAAAGAATAGGCTGAGTTACTATTACGCCACCAGTCCCTTGAGGTTGGCTGACGATCTGACTAGGAAGGGTTGCATGGATAAGATGCTGAACGTTATTTGCATTGGTTACAAGTGGAGCATTCAAAACGGTTATGGTTGGCTGCTGCATTGGCTGGGGGATAGACTGGATTATGGTATTAAACATCTTCTTTCTGGAGTCCTCGATCTCCTCCGGTGACCAGCTGATCCCCTGCTTAAGTCTTTGTGCAGTAAACCATATTTTAATTTGCTCTTCAGGGTATTTCGTCACCACTGTCAGATAGCAAAGTTCGGCCTTCAACGGGTACGGGAATTTATTGAAAGAATTTTTCAAAAAACAATTGGAATCCATGGACGAATTGTATGTCGGAATACTGCTCAACGGAATCATTACTCTTGGGAGAGACTTTTCATTGGGAAGCAGGTGACTTTGGGACTTTTGCGCAGACTGTTTGGGCAGCACTGGTGTTATAATAGTTGCAGGAATCTTTGGCTGTATTAAAGACTGAGGGGGGTTTATGGATACCAGCTGGGTGACCCCAGTTTGTAAGACAGGTACTGTTCCTATGATGGGGCCGTTTACTAATGGAGAAGAATTTACAATGTTGTTGGTCACTTTGCTTACCAACGCTGTCCCGCTCCTGGTAACAGGTCGGCCCTTTCTCTCAGGCTCCTCGCCTACGCAGTTACCATTATCTTTTATAGTGATAATTTTTTTTGTCTCTAGCTTATTTTTGAAATGTTTCATTATAGGGGTTTTAGTCATTGTTACTTCCGAGTAGTCATCCACAAGTTCGTCACCATGGTGTACAGGGTCATCATGATCAATGCCATGGCCGCTGACGCTCTGTTCTACAACAGTGTAGCTCTCGTGCTTGGCCACAATCCAGGAGAGATCTGGGTCTCCGGGATGAGAATCGGCATTGTGAGCTTCCAGTTCCTTAGGGTCTTTCACTAGGAAGCTGCATACAATGCAAACATATGAAGGATCATTTCTAAAGTCAAGGTGTTTTGTATTCATGTGTTCCACAAAAGGGCTTGTTTCCAGAGAACCAAAGTTACAGTATTTACAAAAAAAACTCAGACCTTCTACATTTTCATGTCCATTAGATAGCAAGTCGTGACCACCGCCCATAAGATCTGCAGCTGGTAGTATATCTTGGTGCTCCTCTGTGGAACTTTGGTCCTTTTCTTCTTCTGCCATGTCTGTGCCACCATCCAAGGCTAGAGCCTTGAGGGGTATCATACAAGGCGTGGTAGACTTCCGTTTACTTGCCATGATTTATTTTTTTCTTCCCACAAATTAAGGAAGTGATGTTTGGTAGTGTAAATTCAAAAATGACCGCCAATAAGGCATTACGCTTGGAGCATGTTGCTCTAGAAGACTCTAGCTTGACTTGGCACAGATCTAAAAGGAGGGGAAACAAATAAATCACATTACTTTATGAACAAAAACATTGTTCAAGGTCTTAGCAATAGAAATCACAGCAAAGCTCCTAACTGCCAGTGAGGTCAGAGCTATATTAAAAACATAATGATGGAACTGTACTGAAAATCAAGTGATGGCATACGAAATTAAAGTGAAACTTTTTGGCATACCATATGGAAGGGTTACAACTCTTGTCAGGTTTATACTGATGTGTGTGTCCTCCCTAGTAATACAACCTCTACTTAGGGCCCATTCACACGCTCCGTTTTAGCGGACGGGTTAGTGTGATGTGGCAGCTCTGGCAGAGTTTTATCGCACAATGTCGGAGTTGTCACAGTTTACTTTATGTGAAGTGTACGATGTGTATGCTCTATTCAGGTTCCCGCATTGCAAACAATTGTTTTGTATGTGTCCTTGTAGTGACCAACATTGATCTGGTGCAGTACAACTAGAGATGCACCGATACTAGTATCTGTGCCGATGCCGAGTACTTGTACTCGTCCAAATGCTCCGGATGCCTAGCCCAATACTTGAGCTTCCAGTAATGGGAAGCCGGCAGCGAGTAATTACACGGCACCCTAATTGGTCAGAAAGCCAGCTCCATGCTCCCTCGTCACATAGTGACGAGGGAGCATGGAGACGGCTTCCCAGCTGATCAGAAAGCTGGGTGGCGAGTCTTTACACGGCGCCCGGCTTCCAGGCTAATCAGGAAGCCAAGTGGCGAGTCATTACACCCTGCCATGTTTCCTGAGTGGGACTCCAGTATCAGTATTGGCGAGCACCGAAGAAAAAAAATATCAGTACCCGTACTCAATACCAAAAAAACTATATTGGTGCATCCCTAACTACAACACAGGTCACCACAATCTGTGTGAACAGGCCCTTACAGTTCCCGTGACAGGTGATCATCAAGAAAGTAAATCAATTGAAATCTCTCCCAGGGAAACTGCAAAAAAAATAAAAATACTCTGTTTAATAGAGAATTTCTAGAAGGCTTTTCTGCTTCTATGGGGAGAATTTCCTCACCACAGTTATTGGTGTTCAAACTATCCTTTGCTTTAAATGCTATGTGCCACCCCAGATGACCAAGTTATCTAGCAGTTAAAGGGAACCTCTTAAAAAGTGATTACTCCTGGGAGAGAAGAAATGTCAAGTCATCGCATGGCGCCAGCCATTTTGATCTGTAGAGATGTGCTACTAGTTGAAAAACGTCTGTTCAGCTTCACTGCTAGCAACATAATACTTTAATAGTACAGGTGAAACTCGAATAATTAGAATATCGTGCAAAAGTAATTGCAGTAAGTGCTGCAAAAGGGGCCCAAACCAAGTACTGAGTACAAATGCATGCTTGTACTTTTCAGAGGTCCGATATTGTTCTATGTACAATCCTTGTTTTATTGATTGCATGTAATAATCTACTTTTTTGAGGTTGTGGATTTGGGGTTCTTGGGGTTTTCATGAGCTGTAAACCATAATCATCACAATTATGACAAATCACGGCTTGCATTATCTTGCTTTGCATGTAATGAGTATCTCTCATATATTAGTTTCACCTTTTAAGTTGCATTAGTGAAATAAATGAACTTTGCACGATATTCTAATTATTCGAGTTTCACCTTATATGGCTCAGCAGCTGAAGAGCTACCAATAGAGGACTGAAAAAGCTAACACATGCTGCACAAGGTCTGACACATGCAGCTTTCAAGTATGCCCAATGCACCCACCCTTTGTCGAGGTCCATTCCAGCCAAGCGCAGGGAGGAGGCATTGCATATTAAACAGAGGAAATGCACCAAGTAAAATCTTCAAACCTCACACACAAAATAGATACACGCAGATAAAACCAATTGTAAAAATAAGAACTTATTTCTGTCAATGTGCAAAGGGATCATCCTGGGTTCACGCCTTCACATACGCAGGGAAAACATTCAGGAAGTGGACGTTGTGATTATGGGTTGAATAATTTAATACTTCTGGGCTTAGCACCAAACTGAATGCTGTTCGCTCTAATCACAGACTTTTTCCATAGACTAGCAGAAGAACGAGGTTTAAAGTTCAACCCCAGCAGGGCAGTCACACTAACACCTAATCAGCAAAGCTTGCATGAAGAAGATTGTCTTACGGCTCTAATTTACAAAAGTGAATCTAAAAGCAGTTATGTTGGTAGAATTGACAGTCTTCGGAAACCTACAAACAACAAACCCCTGATGTGGGGGGAGAGAAAGCGAGCGAGTCTATACACTACTGGGACAGATTTATATATCTTCTGCCCCAGGTTATGGTTGCATGAATGCCATTTACACAGCACTACCACCACTAGATGGAGCATAGGACATTCCTATGCCAGTCAGTGCCATCTAGTGGCGGTAGTGCCATACCCTGGGCAGAAGATTTATAAATCAAGCCCCATGTGTCTCCTTTCAACGATTTTCAAAGCAAGTGTCACTTCAGACTTACGAGGCAGCAAGTGACAGCAGCTCAGTAGGAATTCTATTGCACTCTATTAAAGACCATATGCAACTAGAACATGGACACAAGGGGAATGCTTCACCAAAGATTACCATTAACTGCTCAGATCCGCCCAGCTGCATGAGTGACAGCGGGCTCTGCCTATCTAGAGGCAGAGCTAGCTGTGCCCGCTGCCTCCCTTGTTCGTTCCTCCACTCAGTGCTCGAGGATCGGGGGGAATCCTTGCGGGGAGCGGTGACCGATAGTCTCCCTGCAGTGAGCGGTGACTATCGGGAAGTGAGCGGATCGGCGGCATGTTTCTGCTCACTTCCCGATCAATAAAGAAGCTGTCACCGGTTGGCTCTGTCACACGTACGCTCCAACTATGAGAATGAGTGGAAATAACTCACCTCATAGTTCTTCTTTAAGTGGGAACTTTACCCACCAATTGAATGCCTTCCAGTTATTTTTAAGGCATGCCAACTCTCCAGGTGCTGTGTGCTCATTTCAGCTCTCAACCAAACTTTAAAGCTCTCAAATGGCTGGTGTCATAGATAACTACATGTCTAGCACCACGGCAAATGCAATCCAAACAGAGGCTAAGATGGCACCTTCCATATCTGTAAAGGATAGGAGGTTGTAGTTCCACTTTAATTGAACAAGCTGAAGATTGAAGCTGATTGGTTACCTTGCTGCTCCAGTTTCAGTAAATCCCCCCAAATTCTTTGAGACGAGAGAAGTTTGTCCTTTTAAAACATTTGTAGAACAAATCATGGAAACGGATGCACTCAGTTGAAAGCACATGTATGTCCCTGTGTTCTGTGTCCGTCATCTAACAAAGCCCACGCTTCTTTTTTTTTTTTTTTTAAATACATGTCCCAGTCATCAAAACGGGAAGAGCCTGACACTGAGCCAAGTAACACCAAAACAGTGTGCTCTGCCGTCTGCAGAATTTGCCGGGTTCAGTCAGTGGAAAAGTACTGTGCAGAAAGAAGCGTCCGAGCATTCCCTTCCACAGTACATACAGACCGGCATTTCACTGAACTCAATGCAGTTGCATCACCCACAGAACACACTGGCAATCACAGGTAGGCAAACTGCAGCAAACTACAATCCTGTGCCTGCATTGTGTGCGATGTTCAGCAAATTTGGGGAAAACATTATGCAGTCCATCCACATGCCTGATGCAACCTAAGAAAACAGAAACTTTTTTTAGTTTTGAATAAAACAAGGGAGGGTTATAACCCGTCGGCTTTTTTTTTGTGCCATCGGGGAGATTTCCCTTCACTTTCTGTCCGATAGCCACAATAGGAAGCGAGAGGAAATCCCTCCAAAAAGAGGGAAATCCCTGGTGGTCCCTTGAGGATTTCCCATCTATTCCTGTTCTGGTGACAACACAAAATTTGGGATTTTCTTTCACCGATCTCGACCACCAGGACAAATAAATAGAAGGTGAATCTCCTTAATGGGAACAGACGGCAAATAAAAACCTGACAGGTCTTCTCATCCCTTTCCATCCAAAACTTCAGTTGCACTTTAACTCTGAAACCGAATATATAGCAGAAGAAAAATCAAAGGATGGCGATAGCCACTAGTGTGAGAATCTGTAAATCAAACACAATCATGTAAATTCTGAAGAGCAAACATTAAAAAAAAAAAAAAAATGATAAGAATGAGGGATCCACCGATAACGATACTTGTATCAGTACCAGTGCCGATGCAGAGTATTTGGGCGTGTACTCGTACTCGCCCAAATGCTCCGATGCCTAGCCCAATACTTCCGGTATCAGGAAGCTGGGCAGTGAGTCATTACACGCAGCACGGCTTCCCGATTGCCCAGGAAGCCGGCTTCATGCTCCCTTGTCACCTCATGACGAGGGAGCATGGAGCCGGCTTCCTGGCCAATCAGGAAGCCGGGCACCGCGTCATTACACGCCACCCAGCTTCCTGATTGGCCAGAAAGCCGGCCCCATGCTTTCTCGTCACATAGTGACGAGAAGCAAGGGGACAGCTTCCCTGCTAATCGGGAAGCTGGATGGCGAGTCTTTACATGCCGTCTGGCTTCCTGAATGGGACTTCCGGTACTCGCCGAATGCATGTAAAAATAATATCGGTACTCGATACCGAAATACTGGTATAGGTGCATCCCTAATAAGAATTAGCGGTTGACAAAACAACCTGATATATGCTAAAAAACAAACAATGGTTTGCTTTTGAGCGGCAATGGCAGTATATAGCAAGACAATGGAAGGCTCTGGCCACCTAGAAGGGCTCATAATGGCCCATCAAAACATACTATAAACAAACAGCGGTTTGATTTCCATCCATCTAAGCTTTGGAGACCTATAGAAATGTAGTCAATCCTATGGGAGCAGCTCACCCACCTAAACTGTTGCTCCACTCATGGGGATGAGAAGTGCAGGTTGTTTTTCTATCCTTGGCCTTCAACTCCTACATTATAAAAAATGAGATTGCGCATGAGCCGACTGCAGCAGCGGGAGGCCTGAAAGTACTGAAGCGTGGATAACGTCT